ACCCTTTTCAAGGTTTCTCAGGTAGAGAATACTGAGAACTGGTTTCCCATTTCCTTCTTCTGGGGGCATTTCTGCAACTCTGCGGTATGGCCATAACTACACAGACTGGCTTTTCTCCCAGAAGACAGAGTGAGGGATCGAGATCCCAATCTTTGGCCCTGCAGTTTGCTACTAAACCACCAAGATGTCTAATCAAGCCCTGCAAAAACGTACTGGTTTCATAACGACAGTCTCCTTCAAGTTTCTTGCCTCCTGGAGATTGAAGTCATACTTGTTGTCTTCACAGAGAATTGTTATCTGCTGTCCATTCCTGAGAGTTAGAAACAAAGAGGTTGGAGAGTCAGACATGCTTCTGAAACTAAGAGGGGTCAGGAACACATTTCTTATCCAGGGCTTGGAAAAGTTACTTCTTTGCTGTACAAGTCAGCCAGGAATTGGGTAAGTTTCAAAGCTCTGCAGAAACAGAAGGTAACGCTCTATGAAAGTATAGCATGGAACTTCCCTTGTTTATCAAAAGTGAAAAGTTGAATAAAATCACTATTGCTATAACGAAATAACAATTTTGGATCTATTCCAGTTTGCCCATAGAACCAACAAAAAGCTTTGTGGCGGAATCCCCCTGGACATTTTCCTTTGGACCACCTGGGCATGTTCTATGCCATCACTATAGGCAACTTCCCTTGGCTTTCTGGCAAACGTTAGCACTGTATAGTGAATATGGGGGTTGGGAGGGTTGGACCGTAACTCCCAGAACCCTTCCTCCAGCAAGGCCAGTGGAGTTGTAGTTTGATACACCTAACTTCTCCAAGGTCTCATCTTGCCATTTCTCCATTTACTCTCTGCCTAGTCCTTTGCACTCCTTTCAATAACTTGGCTTCACCTTGGACAGGAACTGGAAATGACATTGACTGGGGTAGAGTACAATTTTAAAAGCAAAAGGAGGTCACGGGAGACTATTACTTTTGCCCACAGCTGACCTCCTTGGAAATAATATTCTCTTCAACAAGGAAGTAACCCAGACAGCATGAAAAGCTGCAAGAGAACAGGGAGGAAGGTCTCTGTCCTTGTCGTTTCTTTGTTTTTAAAATCAGACACCCCCCTCGCTTATTCTAAAAGGACCACTGTTATAGCACTGTCATGGCTAGCGTGGCCCATGAGTATTCAGCAATCCTTCTTACCTGTACAGGACACCTCTGAGCCCCCTTCCAGCCAAGTGAGTGTGCAGCAAGTACCCGAAAACATGCATGTCAGGCACTGGAGCACCATTGATCTGCAAGTCAAAAGGGAGAAAACCTCCAGGCTTTGGGGCTTAATAACCATCTCTCCTGCTTTCAGCAAACACATGCCTTCTCAGAAGTACAACCAGCTGCCCCCCACCCAGAACAAACTAGACCATACAGCTCCACATTTTCCAGCTCATTTGTATGAAACCCCTTGAACGTCTCATCATCTGGCATTGGTTGAGTGTTTTGGGTGCTGTAGCGAAAAGCCCCGCCCTCACCTGTCCGTCACAGTTGAACAGGGGAGAAGGAGTCAATGAGAGGAAGGAAGGCGGAGCTAAGGGCGGAGGGGGCTAGATATAAAGGCTGGTGGATGGAGTCTGAGAGAGAGATTCTGGTAGAGAGAGACTGTGGGAAACTTAAATGTGAACTAAGAGTGAGTTAGAGATCTGTAAGAACGCTGAACGGAACTGAGAGTTAATGGAGTTTTAAAGTTTAAGTAGAATTGATTCAAATACTGTACAAGTGATTAGCAACCTGTGATTTACCTATCGAATATTAATCATATACAGTGGTGCCTCGCTTAGTGATGTTAATGCATGCAGAAAAAATTGGTGCTAAGCGATAACATCGCTAAGCAAAATAAAAAAGCCCATAGAAATGCACTGAAACCCCTTCAATGCGTTCCTATGGGCTTAAAATTCACCTTTAAGTGAAGATCCTCCATAGCGCTGCCATTTTCGGTGCCTCTAAAGCGAGGAATCCGTCCCTAAACACAGCGAGTGGCCATTTTGTTTACCCGGAGGCCATTTTGAAACCGCCAATCAGCTGGCCGAAAATGGGCGCTTTGCGATGATCACTTCCCTGTGATCATCACAAAGCAAAAATAGCCCATAGGGACCATCGCAAAGCGATCGCTTTTGCGATGGCAAAAAGTCCATCGCAAAGTGATTTCTTCGCTAAGCGGAGCGATCGCTATGCGAGGCACCACTGTATTAACTTCCCTGATATAATAAATGACTTAAGTTTTAAAAGCACACATGTCTCCATGATTAAATGGCATTAGAGCAGTAATACCTGGTGGCAGCGACGAAGGAAAAAGAGTGAGAGCCTCATGAAGGCCTGGGGGAACAGGGGCTTCAGAGGAAATCGCCACAGGTGTCCTGAAGCATTTAGGTAGTTTGCCTTTAGAGCTGATTTGGGACGCACTCCTCAGAAGGAAGCACTGCAGCCTGGCCTTCAACTGCCTAGGCTGACTCACCAGTTTGTTAGATGATAAAAAAGGCCAGTAGGGCGTCACCCAACTGTAGAACCATCACTTCAGGCCGTTCTCTTTCTCTGAGAAAGCAGACACAGACTGGAAAGTAGTTTCTTCACAATTAGAAGGTGATAAAATGTTGTGGTGGCCTTTTTCACAGTTGCTGTATTTGTACTTTGAGCATGTAAACAAAGGCCGGTGTTTACACCCTGATGACAGTCACCAAACAAATGTGGGCTCATCTATGAGTTGTGAAGCGGTGGAGCAGTGTTGGAAGATAATCAGATGCCCTTGACTGATGAGGAAAACTCTGCTTCTATTTGCTAAATTGCCATCTGACCAGTTATCTACGTATAAGGATCATGCAAGACTCCAAAACTTACCTCCTCAAAGTGGCTGGTATTGCAGACTCCATAGGACATGAAAGAATCTGTTCCAGGTGGTATGAAATGGATAGGAAAGATGAAGACTCCTGTTTGTAGTATACCCATGTCATGTGGACGCAGCTCTGGGGTGTAGTAGAGTCGTAGCCCTGAGTTGTCAATTAAGCCTTAGAAAAGAAAAACCTAAACTGAGCAGCTGGTTTTGCACATATCTCCATGTAGGAAGCTTCCAGTAATCAATGTAACAATACTGTATATATAAACCTGAATATTCAGCATAGCAGATCCTGAGACAACCAACCAGGTACACATCGCCTTCAGGTCCTGCTCCCAAGCTTCCAGAGTCTGGTAGCTGCATTTGGATGAGACAGACCCTAAACACTGCAATGTCAATTAAGGAGTAAGGCCCATGGAAAGGTCTCATGTCAGTGTATATAGGTCCAGAAAGACTTTTCCCTGTTCTTTTCCTTGTGACACATTGGGTAAAGGTGGCTAGAGCCTACTGGGCCTGATGTAGTGAAGAGAAGGAATCCAGGGAAGCCAACAAGGTTCGGTCTGCTGTCCATTCGGCTCCCTTGCAAATATCTGACTTGCATTGCATACTGTCAGAGGCAGTTGTTTAGGCACTGAAAAAGCAAAGCTGCTGGTCTGACCAAGCAGAAGATTTTTCCCTCCTCTTTCTTAAAGACAAGTAATTGACTACGGATATCACAGTAGATGGCCAAATTACTAGAGGCAATCCTGGGCCTTGCTCAGCTGTAAAATACCTACACCTATCTATTTTGGAGAGCATCACACCTGTCCAGCTAATATATAATATTGATTTTCCATTAAGTCTATTCCAACTTATGGTGACCCCTTCCTGGGCTTGCAAAGAGGTTTACCATTCCCCTTTTCTGAGGGTTCTTTTGGACTGTGCAACTTGCCCAAGGCTACATAGGTTGGCTGTTCTCCAAGGAGGCACAGTAGGGATTCAAACTCCCGACCTCTGGCTCCTTGGTCAGGTACCCCACTCACTGAGCCAGCCAGCCAAGATTTCATACTCTGAATGTTTTAAGCATGTGGATCTACCACATGTACTTAAGGTGGCTCCATTGGCAACAGATGAGAGGCTGGAGATAAAGAGAGGGAAGCAATTGTAGCAACAGATTCACCAGTTTTAAAATTCACTTTATTTTATTTGAGTTCTGGAGAAGCTGAAAAAGACCAAGGGCCACACTGTCATCTTTATTATTGGACCACTTTTGACATGGATCTTTGGAAAGAGTACTGAATGCCCACCTCAATTCACCATCTCCTCAGCAAGCTTTCTAGAAACCAACCATTGCATTCCCTGATCGTGGTAACCAATGGATGTCTGCAATTTGATCTTGAACATCAGGCTCCATATAAGGTAAACGCCTTCGTTGCAACACCATGAGCATCACTTTGCTTGCATGGAAAATTAGAGCAACAGTCCTATAATTATTATATTTGATGACATCTCCATTTTTTGGATTGGAATGCATGTTGAATGTTTCCAGTCTGTAGGCCATTGTTTTCTTTTCCATATTTGTTGGTATTTTCTTCTGAGGATTTTGACAGATTCTGTGTCTGTGTCTTAAAATAGTTCTATCATTATGCCAACTACTTCTGCTGATTTACTTTTTCCCATTGCTTTTAGAACAGCTTCCACTTCACTTTCTAGAAGTGCAGGTTCTTCATCATAGGATTCCTATGATGCTCAACAGTATGCATCTATATATACAGAACAGCTTAATCACAAGATAAGATAGGGATGTGAGAAGCAATCACATATTTCCTTGTTCTTGGCATGTTTCTGTGTCTAGCAATACTAAGGCTCCAAACAGACATTTCCCTGCACTAACAGGTTTTCCTCCCCTTCACAGATTGCTGCCTTGTTGTAGCGAAGGGGCTTGAGTAATTCAGAAAAGCTATGGGCTATGCCATGCAGGGCCACCCAAGACGGACAGGTCAAAGTGGAGAGTTCCGACTAAACGCAATCCCCCTGGAGTAGGAACTGGCAAGCCACTTCAGTATCTTTGCCAAGAAAACTCCATGGACAGAAACAAAAGGCTAAATTAAAAGATGTGATGCTGGAAGATGAGTCCCTCAGGTCGGAAGGCGTCCAACATGTTACTGAGGAAGAGCAGAGGATAAGTACAAGTAGCTCCATAGCTAATGAAATGGTTTGGCCAAAGCTGAAAGAACGCTCTGCTGTGGATGCTCCTGGAAGTGAAAGGAGAGTCTGATGCCACGAAGAAAAATACTGTTTAGGAACCTGGAATGTAAGATTTATGAACCTTGGTAAGCTGGATGTGGTCAAACAGGAGATGGGAAGAATCAACATTGACATCCTGGGCATCAGTGAACTAAAATGGATGGGAATGGGCGAATTCAGCTCAGACAATTATCATATCTACTATTGTGGGCAAGAATCCCATAGAAGAAATGGAGTAGCCCTCATAGTCAACAGAAGATTGAGAAAAGATGTACTGGGATACAATCTCAAAAATGAAAGAATGATTTCAATAGAAATCCAAGGCAGACCTTTCAACATCACAGTAATTCATGCACCAACCACCCATGCTGAAGAGGCCGAAATTGACCGATCCTATGAAGACTTACAACACCTTCTAGAACTGTCACTAGAGAAAGATGTTCTTGTCATTATAGGGGAATGGAATGCTAAAGTAGGGAGTCAAGAGATAAAAGGAACAACAGGTAAGTTTGGCCTTGGAGTTCAAAACGAAGCAGGGCAAAGGCTTATAGAATTTTGTCAGGAGAACAAGCTGGTCATCACAAACACTTTTCCAACAACACAAAAGGCGACTCTATACATGGAAATCACCAGATGGGCAATACCGAAATCAG